GAAAAGATCCCCGGGCCTGCTTCTCATGCACGGCTTCGTCGCGCTCGGCATCCTCGGCCATCTCTTGCCTCATGGCCTGCAAGAGCTCCCGGACCTGCAGATAGCCGGAAAGATAGAATCAGAGAGAAGAGCGAGGAAAGGACGGAACGACTGGGCATGACTGGGACTGGGCCTACTGACGTGACAAAACTTGCCTCCACGAAACACCTGCACGCTCAGCGTGAGGATGTTACTTAGGGACTCGGGCATCCCTGGATCCTAAACTGAACCTCTGCTAGCCTTGGCGTTCGGACGGCATACAAAACCCAGAAGACCAAGTGCAAGCAGATTAAAAAAGCAACTGGACCGCAGAACTCTCAGCCAAAAGCTTCTGTACAGGCCAGCATTACATCCCCACTCCATCCCACTCCCGATGCCGTTGGGCATCGCCATGGCCTGCCTTCTGCACCGGACCCCTTGCGGCCGTCTTGAACGTTATCGCATCCACATGGTGGGTCACGGCTGCAACTACGAGGAGCCGCCGAAGCAGCTTCACCATGCTATGCATGTCTACATTCAGCCGGGTGCCGGCACTGAGCCACGAAGGATGCGCACGAAAATACAAAATATCTGGCAGCACGCCTCCGGACCTTTGCTGCTGACAACGCACAAATGCACGTCCTCCCTGAAATCCTTTCACGCAGCGCTTCGCAGGCTCAGACCCCGGGGTTCGGGCCGCCAGCTTTCGGCAATGTTCAGCCGAGCTTCGCTGTTCGTCGCTGCAGCTGACAAAGACTTGTGAAGACTTGTGAATCTTATCAGCCGTCCTAAATGGGCCGTGGGCCAAGACATGGCGTCCTCAAATGAACGCATTGCGAAACGTGCGGCCATGAATGGACCAAACCTCAACGAGAACAGGCGGATCAAGTGTCTTGCACTATCAGCTGGCACATGACAAGCACTGTCAGCTGAGCACAGATCACCCAATTGCTTTCGGCGCTTTTCCAGTAAGGTTGAAGTGTCCTCTCAGTGTTGCCCTGTGGCACAACATCAAACCCTACTTAGTCTCCGGCCTTGCCAACCAAGCGGTCAGTCATCAATGGGATCGGTGGAACGTGCACGAGGGGCTGCCAGTGTCCAAGTGCATGCACAAATCCCAACCGCAGCAATTGCAGAAAAAATGGGCAAGGATGACCGGAGGCACCGGGCGCCCTTTCGTCACCTGCATATCTGCCTAAACTGTGTTACCAAATCCGGAAAGAGATGCGCTGCTTAGCCGGCGGACAGCTTCTTCGAAGGGTGGCCACCATTCCTCCACTGCATTTCGAGGTCACACCAGCCAGGCTCAATGTTCGAAGCCGACTGCACTCAACGATTCGTTTTTGGCGCACCCCTCGATGAGCGGGAACGTCTGAAGCCACGCACACGATGGGGAGGTGGCGCTGGTGCATGCGAGCAACCTATGCTGCAGTTTCAGCATGTAACAGAAGAACCCCCGATACCAGCTCCACAGGCTGCGCCTCATGCACCAGCCCCCCAAAGTGAAGCCTGGTTCTCACAGGGCAAAAGCAACAAAGGCTCCCACGCCTCCCAGGAATCTCGCCTCGGGTGTCGGAAACTGCCCAAGCCGCTCATTGCTGGCCTCAGTCTGACAGGAACTCGACCAGGGCCTCCGCACATGACCCGGGATCCCCACATCACAATGGCATCAGCACCATGGGCACAAGCCCATGAAAATGCCCGATCCAAAGCCGCTTTGACCAGTTTGCGATCCCTGGCAGATCTGGACATCGGGAAACGGGTGGTGAATGGTGTTCAAGTGTCCGACTCTTCTCGGGCATAAGTTTCCTGGCCAACAGCCACTAAACACGCATTGAACTCACCTACCTGTCAATGTCTGCCACAGCCTCTCTGCAGACTCTAGAGCTCTCTGGACCTTTCAGGCTCCCAATTCCTTGTCTTGGTGTCTCGTCACGTCTGTTACTCATACCTCTAGTATTGCTCGTGCTTTCGGCTTCATTATCATTGTTCTTATGCTTATTGCCTTGTTGCTGTTGTGGTTACCCTGCCGGCAACTGCCCGTAGCGACAATGGCAATTATGCAAAGTCTTGCTAGCTGATGTTTGGACTCACAGTCGAAATAGTCTGGGAGCTTGTTAGTCCTGTCCCCCTCCTAACACTGCTCTTCTTCCTCTTTTTCGTCACTTCACGTCCTTTTAGCCTTTCCGTTCGTTGATATTCACAACGTTGGAACTGATACAATACAAGTCATCATTGCTGTTGTTGTTTTTGCCCCTGTGCCTCATATCGACTTGGATTTGCCTGTGCTTCGACTCACCACTCAGCAGCTCCACGGAAGAACGAGGTGTCCTGTTCTCCGATCTCAGGGTGGGCGGGCAAGCCAAACCTGGCGAAAGGCACGGCTCCGCACGGCACGGCACAGCCGCCCCCTCGGCCCCACGGGGCTTGCACCAAACCACATCCACCTGAAAAGGATGCTCCAGCCATGGCCTCGGTTTCCGGGTCTGGCGAAGTGCCTCCGCCTCCGCCTCCGCCTTCGTGCCGCCCTGTGGTGTGTTCGAGGCTTCGGCACCCCATCCTTCAATGGACCACGTAGAACGCCAACTCCCGAGGTGTACACAATACAGCCCTGCCCAACTCAACGCATCACAATGCACAAATCTTCGGCTTGACCTTGATTGGGCTTGGCCTCCTTGATCGCTTCATCTGGCGGAAGGGGGAGATCTCGCGCCAAACGCTCAAATGCCTCAAAGTAGGTTGTCCGCAGGAAGACTTGGTCCTCAAATGCTCACGCAACATGTCCACACACCCCGATGACCATCAACAGTGTCCTCGTAAATGTGACTGTACTTCCGCTGCAGGCTCCGAGGGGCTTCGAACGGCGTGCATCTGTCAAACGAAGCAGCAGCAGAAATCCCAGAACTCGCTTCATTCCCGTCAAAAGACTGGGACAAAGAGCCTCAAGACTGCTACCCGCCGGCAGTGTGGCAATTTTGCAAGCTGCAAAGCCACATCCAGCGGATCACAGCCTGCCAAAAAAGAAGCCCTCATCATCCAAGACTTCCATCATCATCACTTGCTGAGTCCAGGATGCGGACAACGAGCGCCGGAGAGCTGCTGCGTCTGGCCCGATGCCTCCAAATTGTTTGAACTGCCAGGCTGCTTATGAAGCTTGATCCAAGGAATTGGGAATTGCTGCCTACTGCCCAGGGCCGCTTCATAAAGCTTTCTCTTGTGACCTGCCCCTGATGACTCGATTTGTGACGTCCGACACTAGTTTTGCTGCGCAGAGAACGCTCTCGACGTGTGGACGCTTGTCGGGTATTGCAGGGTTGGGTGCCTCAGCAGTTCAGTCTCGGGGAGCACCCGTATTCGCTCTGTGGTTTCCAACATCTTCCGACTGCGCGGCATCATGTTCGAGCGTCTTACGACAGCAGTACGGTGGGTAGATATATGGGGGCGAGGGCGGAAGTGCAGAAGCAGCAACGATTCGACCGTGCAAGCTGAAGAGCACCTTTAGCAAGCTGGCAGACGGCATGCTCGTTGGAGGATGCACGCAGGATATAGGTCTGACCAGATGTCCACACTCCACCTGACAGAAGCGGACAAGGATGCTCAAAACAAGCATTGTTTACAGAAGATACTTTTCCAAGGCTGTCTTGGTATTGCAATGGCCTTCTGGGCAGTCTCTGAGATGTAGCAGCCCTTCAGGCATGCCTGGCACACCCGTTCTTACAGAGATTCCCGCTACAGCGTCACACAAGCCCAGTATCACATGACAAGACAGTCATCGACTCATGGATGCCCGCTTGTCCCTTCGCCACAACTGGGACACTGGGATGCACATCGGAACGGGACAAAGGGACAACACTGTATAGAATGCCAAGCTTATCCCCTGCGGAAGATTGCAAACTACAGCTTACTCACTGACCGAGAAGCATGCTTCTCCCCAGTGCGACAGTCTTCCCCCCACCGAAACAAGTAAGTTGAACTAAGGCCCACAACAGCAGCAGCTTTCGATGGAGACCGAAGGCAGCCAAACCGACAGCATGCTAGCTAGTTCCTCTGTTGTTCCGACGGATTCACAACGGCGTGAGCGCTTTTCAGCATGGCTAATCAAAGCTCTAATTAATTCAAGGACTCCCTGCCAGTATCACGGCCTGCCCTCAGCGTAATCATTCTCCCCTCATCCCCCTTTACTGCAATACAAAAGGCCCAGGTAGAGAAGAAGACGCCGTGAGCCATAACTGCATGGCTTGCACCGACATTGACATGTTGCATGCTGCAGCCCTGCTAGGCCACCCCGTCTGTGCGAGGTGCGAAGGCGGTCGTCGGTTCAGGCGGGACTTTGCCAGTGGAAGTGAGGACGGTTTCCCATGCCCACAGAAAGACAGCCCCTGTACTATTATGACGCAGTGCCGAATGATCTACACAGGGAGATTCTCCATAGTGTAAATCTACGACTGCCACGGCAGTGAGGCGAAATCACCTCGACCAACGAGAACTGCCTAAATGGCCCTCAAGCCGCAGTGGCTGGAGTACGTTCACCTACCTCACAGTCACCACTTTGAGGGAAGGGTCAGGGCGGGTGAGAAGTGGTAGACATCTCTCTCCACCTGGGCCCCAATGACTAGCGGTCCGATAGAATCGATGCACTGCACATGAGAACTTTGCACCCTTCCTGCCTGCGCTGTGCCCAGGAAGATGGCCGTGGCTATCAGCGAACGCTTCTCGGCATCCTAAGGCATGGTTCTTGACGTTGCACATTGTCGCACTCGCTCGCTGCACGCTGGCCTCCGGACCGGACTCTTCCATGCGCCCCTTGACCCATACAGGCTGCAGCCTGTCACGAAGCAAGAACAAGCAATGTGCATCACTTCCAACACGACCGAAATCCGAAAAAACAAGCAAGCGTCTCTGACGGAAATCGTCCAGATCTAGGCAGAGAGCTTGTGCTTTCCGCAACCTGGCTATGGCGAGTGCGCTGTTGCAGCGACTGACAGGGACAGAGCCGAGAAGATGACTCTTCTTGTAGTCTAGGCGCTCGGAGTGCCTGTCGCAGTAGAGCCACACACTCTTGCATCCCATGAGCCGGCAAGGGAGATGCCTGATTGAGGCTGGGACCTGCAAGGGTTCACGATGTTTCGAGTCTCTGCTGTATCACTCAAAGCGCAAGGATTCCCGTCCTGGATGTTCCATGCCATGGAAGACACCAGCTAAAGCCTCAGATTAAAAGGTGGGACTGTAAGGCAGTGTGTGTAGCCGTGGCAGGCTGAGCAACAGGCACATCTATGGGGCATGCTCAAGATGCCGCGATTGCCAACAAATTCCGACAATCCAGCTAGGATGTGCATCCTGTCCTATCGTATTGCAAGATTGCTGCTGATGGCCAACGCGACGATTCGGGAATCGAAGCAATTGTACGCTACATCAAACATGGCCCTGGAATGACTCTCCTGACTGATCGGACTTGAGCAGGAAGCTAAGAGGCAAGCACGATGCACAAGGACCGCAGCAACGCGCATCCGCTGGTGAATGCGATTCTTCAGCGTCTGCTTTGTTCGTCGCCGCTTCTTCCTGCCTAGTCACGGCTATCCCCTCCCCATTTCTGAATCGGAAACCCCTAAACTCGAATTGAAGGCACTAAGTGCCACTGCATCCTACTTCCAGCTGCCTCAGCTGTGCATAAAGAAAGTGATGCGGCGCTGTCTCATTGGAGCCTTCTGCTGCCTGGCGGGTGATCTGTGCGCCTTGGTAAGGCTAGTGGAGGACGAGTGGATTCTGCTCTGGTCAACGCGCGAAACCGGTGGATTCGATGCTTCTCCCAGTACATATGCCGTCTGGATCAGTCTTGATGTCAAGATTTTTCGAACTTGTTTCAATACGTGTTAGTTTCAGTAAGAACATGACTCCCATGCTCTGGTGTGTCGATTTGAGGACAAAAAATAACTCTTCCCAAAGTATTTCGCATCTTTCTAGCTCACCTGCGACTCTCTTGAACATGCGCTCCGCAATGCTGCACGTCGTGCATGCACAGATACGCACGGTTCCAATCTGAGCACGTGCAAACACACAACGTGATACAACGTGTATCAACGTGTTAGATGTGTTTTGCCGTGTCAGACTGTGCGCCTCCGCACGTCTCTGCCGCTCTTTCCGGCTATTAAGATTAACCATGGCAGGGGCCATGAGCCCTGACCCAGACTTAGTCATCTGCAGGCTCCGTGGGCTGCGTGGGCTCCGGCTCCAGTGGCAAACCAGGCCTTGACCTCGGACAGATCTTGAGAAAAGGCGGCAACTTGGGCAGCGGATCTGGGAAGCTTGCTGGCTGGTCGCTTGCCTCGAAGAGCTGTATACACAGGTCATGTGACCATGCCCAGAGAGTCTTCTGCATCAGCAAGACCCCTGCGCCCCTTTCCTGCTCCTCTTGAAGGCCTCCTGTCGTACAACGCTTTCCATGCTGGCTAGTCACCCGACTTGTCTGGCCTTCTTCTGTCCAATCTGCCTTGCTCTGTCCTACGTGCACAGACATCAGGAAAGGTTACCATGGCACCGGTGAAAAAATCATGAATTATACTTCCTCCACGTAGATCTTGCGCCACTTCTGTATGATGGGGGTCACCTATGTCACTGCGATGCGAAGTGCGTGCAGCATCTGTTGGCTTTGCGCCTTGCTCTTGATGCTGGGGAACTTGCACGCCCTTCCACATTTCCCGATTGTAACGTGACGATGGAAGGCTTCGCTGAGAGCATAGCGTCTCGCGCAGAAATTTCGGAATCAGGGTCCTGTCTTTAGGCTGTGACGTGACTCGACGATCCTCCAGCCTCCGACCAAGAGACTCAAACCTGCCCATGTCCTTCGCAGAAGAGCAGCCGTCACTGGGAGCGACTCTAGTTGGGGCACCAACTGCGGAAGCACCTCCTGTCAGGTCACTTGAAACAGCAGGATCACGAGCAAAAGAGGAAAAACGTCTGTTTTGTTCAGTGGACTCTCGGCATATCTGGGCATGCTAAACTCCCACTGCCCACTCTTCTTTCAATCAGACCAAGAGCAAGGCATACTCACCACTCCGTGCCCTCGTCTCAAGTCTTCGGTGACACGCATGAGGCGAGGCTGATGTACTGTCGGGACCCCCTGCTCTTTAGCTTACGAATCCCCCCAGCACTCAACTGTGCTGCTGCTGTTTGGTATCACTGCTGCAGCTGTGCAGTCCCTGCATGTCCAGCTGACACCAGCCGATCGAACCACAAACAACAAAAGATGACACACTGGCCCCGGCCGAGCATAACGCAGGAAAACAACTCACTGTCAGTCTTACTCTCACTCTTCACTCACTCACTCTTTTCTTCCGCCGGGCTCGGGGGTCCGCTTGTCGTTCCTTGGTTGAGCTCGGTAACGTTGGCGGGGTGCACCGGCGGGGGTCTGCAACAAGGAATCACCCACCCTTGCCCAAAAGAGCTCTTTCTGCAAGTCTGCAGAAATCCTCATCCGAGTGACCCTGCATCGCCCTCTCCGACACCACGCCGTGAGACACATCTCGCATAGAGACAGCATGTGATAATCTAATCAAGCAATCATTGCTATCGTTTCGAAAGACCTTGCCTCTGCACAAGATTCGGGACTCTATGGGGAAAACGGACAAGGAAGAACAAAAGAGGAGAGGAACTGGAAAACGGAGAGAAGGACAGGACGAAAGGGAGGCCCGTTCTGGGCCTGGGCCTGGGCCTGGGCGCCTAACTCCGGAGAGCACTGCGGCTACGACAGCAGCGGGCCCAGCGGGCCCAGCCATGCAGTCGGGCTGTTGCTTTGCTACGGGCACACCAGACATCATCGATATCATGGTGTCCCCAAGGAGCCCTACGCATCAGTCTACAACCACTGCATTCTCTCAAGCTGGCATACCTGGTCTGCTTCTTGAAGCACCTGCCATTTTGCACAGAAACGGCCGAAAGACTGCTCGCACCAATCTGCCAAGATTGGCCTTGACCAGCTTCTGGGCCTTTGCCAGGTTCTTTTCTAGAGAGGCATCTTGCGCAGCCTTCACAGTTGGCGACATGTCAGCAGGTCTCACGAGAAAGGATGCAGGACGTTTCGCTTTTCTCCGGAGCCTTGCAGCGTGCAAGCAATGGACCTCACATCTGTCACATTCAGCACATGCATAGACGAGCTAATATCACTTCAGGACGGCGCCAATGCGCAGACTCTTCTGCTTAACTCTTTTTGCCAAAGCCTAAACATTGCAGGACATGGGAAAAGCACTAAACAAGCAGATCCGTACACGGTCAGGCACCCTTGCTGCGACAACCAATTGAAAGTTAAAGCGAGTCAGAGACCATCTTGGCCTAGTGAAGAGCCCAGAGCGGCCAGAGCGTGCCTTCTTGGCATTCGACTCCCATTTGCCGTTCAGGCCCTGACACGCAAGAAGCTGACAAGGGAAGCTTTTTCCCGGCGGCAGATCGGCCTGCCGGTACTTTGCCAAGGCAGCACGGCGACGGCGCGTCGCCTTCACAGTCTCGGAATGTCTCAGAAGTCTCGAGATTCACTGCGAGGCCCGAGGCCTCACTTTCCCACCGTTTGAGGACGCGCTTCGACGGCATCGTGAGCTCAGGCCAGCTCTGGAAGCGCTGGGACTAGCTGCTTAGCTTCGGGACATTTCGGGACTGTCATAAGCGGCTGAGTGGCCCATGTCGACACGAGCGACAACGCTTGCTTGGAGTCGTGACAAAGAACGAAAATGCTCCTGTTCCATGACTGCGGTCTCCTGTGTGAGCGGGCAACACTGCCAAGACATGACTTGGCTGCAGCACAGTGAACAGTCGCCACGTCTTCGCTCATGTGCCACAAGATCTTGACAAGCAAGCCTTTTCTTCGGTCGCTTGCTAGTCACATTCTGGGCCCGTCAGACTTAAAAATGTCGTTTGTACAGGTGACTCTGAGCGGACGGACTTTGTACAACTGACACCGAGCCAGTGCAGAAAACCAGCTCACCATAGAGATAGAGTTGCAAGCCCAGTCAATGCCAGGCCGCATGCGGACAAAATAGATCCTTGCACCATCAAGAAGATAAGCCACCGGGCTGGGCTTAAGCCAAGATCCTTCATGAAGCCATAGGGCCAACGACCGGTGAAATGGTGGTTCATGTGTATGGTAACCAGGAAGACCATGACATAAAGAAGATGAAGGCGGACAAGGCCCAACGGAGACGGCATGGCCTCAAGGAGTGTGTCTCGGTGCTTGAACAAAATGTCCAGGACGCTGACGACCATGGGCAGGACGTGACGCAAAGCGTCCAAAACCCCGAAGCGTACCCCGCGAGCAGCCCAAAGCTGGCAAACCTTCTCGTGCTCCGGATGCCTCTTCACGAGGTTGAAATACTGGATCGTCACAAAGACTCCGCAGGCGCCAATCACGGGACTTAAGCGGTAGTTGCCGTAGGCCAAACGTCTGCTGAGAAAAGGCAACACTGCCGAAGCAAGAGCATGGACAGCCAAAGCTCCGATCGTCTGATGAGTGAGGTAAACCCATCTGCCAAAAGGACCATATGTTACTAGGAAGTCATCTTCGGCCTCTTTAGTGCCACGTGGCAACGAATGGATTTCAACATAGAGGTTGAACACAGCGAGAAGTCCAACTGCCAGCTGAGCAGCGACGACGAGTCGCGGGGGTTCCAGAGCTGGCAGCTCTGCTCCAAATGCGAGTGCATGCAGTATGGCTGCGTATAGTGCGAGGAGAAGACAGACTCCAATGTGGTCTAAGTGCCTTGTATGCCGATGTTGCTGTTCTTCCTCAGAATCATACTTTCCAGGCGGGCACCTGAGCAACTGACGCAGAAGCCTCGTTCTGGCAGCTGGATGTCGAGACATTTGATGAAGGCGTTTACCGATTGCAAAACTGGGTTGCAACAAGTGTCTCATGCTCTCTGACTAAGTCTACGCACTCCTGGCTCAAACCGACGTGGAACTGAATGGCAGGTGATCAGTTGGCGAGCTCGGTGTATGGCTTGTTTGAGACGGGCTCCTGCCCTGCAGGGGATTCAGAAATTCCGTCAGTCGTCTTGTCTGTACATACGCACAAAACTCCCCTCGAACTGTCTTGAACCAGGGCACAAAAACTTCACTAATGCGTCAGAGTCATCTCCGGCAGTAGGCTACCATCCAAGCGAAGCCGAGATCAGAAGCTGCCACAGACTGTCTCAGCTTTGCAGCATCACGTCGTGAAGTTCACGGCATTAGCCCCTCACACCCGCTATTAGTGCCCACATTGAAAATATGACGCGACGCAGCAGAGGCAGAGAGAACAAGGTAAACGTTGACATCATGTTGCAGCACACTGGAAGGTCAGAAACCAGCCAGTCGAGACCAAGACTTACAAGTGCTAGATTTTCGCTTCGGGGCTGTATGAACCTCTGGAAATTTCCGCATGCGTCCATCAACCAAAGTTTTTGCACTCAAGCCTTCATCGAACCTACTAGCGCAAGTGAAGGCTGACGGCTCACGATCAAAATCGGATCGCTGCGCCCCTGCTTACTTGACTGGACAGAGTCCCTTTTAAAGGGGCTTAAGTGCCGACATGTTGTCAAGCACTTCTCGCTGCTAGCATTTTGCCGGCGGTCACCTGAAAATAGGTGAGTCAGCACGCGGCCCCTGATTAGGGCTCGTACGAGCCCGGCCTAGTGACGTCGGTCACCTACGTAAAGCCTTTTGGCAGGGGCTCACCATGCGCACGGCCTCGCAGGCCCACATCTACCACAGGCTCCGAACAGGCTGCAAGCTAAGCGGCCCGACAGATGAGCCACTCGCAAAGTAGCCGCGGTTTGTACCCGCGCGCATCCTTGCCTCGAGACTCAGTGAGTTGTGGCGACTGGGCCTGGCCGCCTGAGGCTGAGGGTCTGGCCTGGTAAACGCAAGAAGAGCTTTACTTTCGATTGCGCATCCACCTCTGAACCCCTTCCACATGGCACCGAAGCATTGCAGTGGCTTGATGCATTGGGATCATTGGAAGCTGCACGAATTACATCATGAACGATTCGGCTCTAAACTCCGGCAGGTCACAAGACCTTTGCACATCGAACAACACACTCCGAATTTCCGAGGGCTACAAAGAAGCTCGAAAAGCGCAGGAAGCTAAAGGCTTATGTTATCTCGCATTTTCATGCGCGATCTTACTTCTGCCTGTACTGGTTGTCTCGGCCTTTGCTGTCATGCAAGAGTACGGCCGTAAACCTGCACGACTGGGAAGCATCAATTCTTGTCAATCAAAGTTTGACCCTGTAGTTGCAACTCCCGAGCTAGGATGTTGGTCCTTCTGCCTTGTGTGGCCCATTGATGATGTGGATCTGACATGTGGCAGCAGTCGCCATGTGGCAGTCGTTTGAAAAGCAATCGCACAAGGGCCCAAGGTTGGGAAACGACATGCGGCATTGCCCTGACAGTGGCAATCTCTGTGTACTATTCAGCTGCCACTGCCGCCGATGAGAAGCCAAGACGCTAACAGCGTCAACTTCTGGGAGACTTCAAGTTGCTTAAACAACTGGCAGTTGACGGCAGTCTTGCGTACGGAGATGTCATTGCGCATTTCACTCGATATGACACCTGTGTTGACAGAACAAGGTGGTACAGCAAAGCATGCAGCGGTGAAAAGGTAATCTCTTGGCAGTCCAGGTTGCCATGCACAAACAGCCTGAGCATGGCTGAGCATGGGCCGAAAGCGAAAAGAAGCCGCCTGCCCGAAAGTGAGGAAGCCTTCAAACAAACCCGGCATGCCAGTACCTCAAGGGGACAGGGAAAACCTAGCACTGCACACCATGGCAGCCACTGGCAGCAAGCTGAGCAAATGACGTTCATGCAGTCGTCGTACACCTGGGCTTCTGGCAGTCCTCTCCTCTGCATCTGTTCTCTCCCCCACTCCCAGATTTCCCACTGCACTCCTGTGTAGACCCACTTTTGTCGGCTCGCAAATCTTCTCGCAGTATTAGTGGCTTTCCTCTTCGACTCCGACCGCGGCTTAAACGATAAAAGCAGCTAAGGGCAAGGGCACACATTTTTCCAGTACACAGGGGAACGAGAACCGTTAGCTGTTCACAAGTGGACTTGAAAGTTTGGGTGGACGAAACCACTTGCGAACTTGCCCATGCTTGACCCCCACAGCGCACGCTTGACATACTTGCACTTGACACCGAAACCCTGCTGCCTACCACTTCAAACCCAAACCCTGAACCATAAGCCTTGAGCGCTAAACCCTGAACCCCTATCCCTAAACCCTAAATCCTAAGTCGTTGAACATCCTTAAATTTACATCCGAAACACTCAAGACCCTAAAGCAAGTGGGTCAAGTGTGTTAAGTGTGTACAGTGGGGTTTGTGGGGCCAAGCATGGGCAAGTTTTACCCTTGCGAACGCTTGGCGTTATGCATCTTTTCAAGTGTGCAAGTGCACACAAGTATGCGCTTTAACTTAGCGTTTCCCGACTCCACGGGCAATGCACTTTTCCAAGCTTTTCCTGTATAGCGATCGTGGGGGGAGGGTGACATACTGTGCCACTCGCAAGTGAAACAAACAATTGGGGCTTAGAAAGCCTGAGTGCGCTGAGTTCGTTGAATGACGTCGCTTGTGCCGCACACCTTCGCGTTTAACATACCAGCCAACCGTTCCCAAACCATGGCATGGTTTTTGCAGCCCTACACCTGACATCCATCGACCTACATACAAGCAACCATGCAGCATCAGGCAGGAAGCCAGACCGCCATAAGAACTCTGGCATTCCGTAGCATGATGCCCTGGCCGTTTCCAGCAACCTCTTGGCTGGCCCCAAGAAGGCTTCGGGTCACTTGGTCACAGCTGCAAAAAACGCCAATGCCGGAAGACACATAGACTAATTGCAAACAACAGAATACGAGGATGCTGCACTTGCCATCCTTGAAGGAAAGATCTAGATGGACATCTCCCGATGAGTCCTTCAGCCCACAAGCGTCTCCCAGCCATGCCAGCCCAAGATTAAGACGAAAGTCCTGGACGTAAGGGCCAAATTGACCACTGAGTTGAGCTTGAAGCATTTGCAAAGCAGACCTGCGATCTTTATTCGACCTCATGGAGCGAAAGCTGAGAAACTGGGAAGATCTGCTGGTTGTGGATCTCAGGCGCGAGCTTCGCTAAGCCTTTCGACGTCGCCATGGCTGGAAGTTGAACCTTGTACTGAAGGCAGCCTCCCTTTTCCACGAGAAGCTTCCACTTTGCTCCGGACGCTTTCAGGAGGCGAAGCTCCCAAACGCGAAGCGAAGAGAGTGGTGAGGCCTCCACCACGAAGGGGCAACATCGCTTGCTTTCTGCATCAAAGGAAGGCACGAAGATACACACAACACAACGGCTGCAACAACCGGAAAGTTGCATCATACACCACCACGCATGCATCAAATGCAGATGCCCAGGTTGGGCATCGGTCGCGGTAACTTCCCTCGTATATGAGTAGCAGCATTGCCAGTGACTCCTACTGGCATTGCCTGCGAGTGGTAAAAGTCTGTGCTGTTGAAAGAAAGAGTCCGACGTGGGACCCTGGGACGACTGTCCCGTCTCAGGTTTGCACCAGTGGACTTCTCGGGCTCCTGCGGATGGCACAGACACTGCACAGACACTGCATCTGCCTGCATCTGAGCGCTCCTGTGCTTCCAAGGCGACGGCCTGACCAAAACGACGAGCGATCGGTAGGGCCGGTAGGGGCGCAGCAGGCTCGAAAGGGCGCCCTATCACGACGAACCCAGCTGTCAAATTGAAGACAACGGCCCTGTAGTTGACTGACTGCGGGCATTGCCAAAACACAACATGGCATGTCAATCGGACGGGATCTACGGAAACATAGGACATCAGAGAGCTTCGGGACTTCCTTGCTGACTGTGTATCCGATTCTTGCTACTGATACTGCACTCCTTGTGAACAATGCTGGCATTTCGACAAATTGCGAGTTATACACTGCGAAACTGGCAGCGGTACTTTGCGGCAACCACTGGAGTACGCACACTACACTTTTCATGGACGCTTGCCGGTGCCGGCTGCCGGCAAAGCTCCGCGCCAGCCTTGTTGACCCAGATGAGAAAATATGCTGTCCCGGCAGGTATTCTAAACCTCACACTGGCACGACTCCGGCCACATGAAGCATGTGATGGCATCTGCAACGCAGCTTAAGGCAATTGCATCAGCGGGCTCAACAGGACAACTCCGTGAACCTCGCAGCAATACTCCAGTCGATGGACAACTCTACTCTTGGCACGAGGCCTGCCCAGCTGAGGTCATTGGAGCATACCCGAACTTCATTGCCAGTGGCTCCTGTTTGAGACACGCAGTGCACCAGCTCGACCCGGCTACCCACATCTCGAGTGTACAGATACACTGTAATCTTGCTGCCCAAAGCACATCCAATGATGTGAGCAGTGCTGGAACTCTTGTGGCTTCCTGAGGTTGTCGAATTGTCGACAGTCCGAAAAAGAGCAGTGCACTTTTCAGTCAAGAAACGTTGAAGGTGATGGAATAGCACAGACCCGAGCCGTCCTGCCGAAGACAGCACAGGTCATGCCAAGCATGACACTTAACATCTTTACACATTTCACGCCACTTGTCCTCCGCAGAGTCTGGTTGGATACGCAGCTGGTAGCGGGCGCGCCTCGTGGCTTTGCTAGCACGAGCTCGGGGCATTTGTATCGATTTAGCTTGGGGATCAGGCGGAAGCGGTATCTTGACGCGAATGAGAAAGTTCCAGTTCGGCAGCCGCTGAGCCTGGCAGAAACGATCCCTGCTAAAGCTATTGCCCTTGGTCACTCAAGCCTGCGCAGCCCTTGGAACGATGTCCTCATCGCCTCCAAAACGAACCACATGCAGCCTGCAGAAGACCAAAGGCGAGAAGAAAGTTCCGCGCATCAACGTAACAATTTCAACAACATCTCTCCGAGCCCGCAACTCGGCGTTGATAGCTTGAACCGGCGCCCGAATCGTGACTGCCAAATCCTGAGCACCCATGCCAGACGTAAGACTACGAGGCATGCTGCGTTGCTACACTTCGACCGAGGTTCGACTCCATCGACAGTGATGTCCATGCCTGGATGGGACATGGGCCTGGCAATCGAGGAGCGTTCACCAAATCCTGCACTGAAGTGTCGAGCATAAACTGTTGGTTATGGCCCGCTGAAAGGATTGCTGATCCAAGTTGCTGGAGCTGCGTCGTCGTCTGATGTCGATCTGGACTATTCGTATCGGTAATCGGACTATAATGATCAGGAAGAGTTCTGCGTGAGGGTTTGGTATTGATGATATGTTGTAGATGCTCACCTCACCGAGCGTGTTGTTGATATAGTTGTGGTATTGCCAATGCAGAACTCACACGCGCAATTGTACACAATGTAGAGCGGCGCACCCTTCCTTTTCTCACTCGCCTTGGCTGACGTTGAGTCTTTGCAG